TGCAAGATGATCTCAGAATCTTGACAGATATCGATAAATCTGCATAAGATCTTGAAAGAACTGAACAGAAACTTCCGAAATCTTTCAAGTTTTTATCAAGATCTGCAGTCAAGATTTTTTACTTGGGCGATAGAGCCCTGCAGGTTACAACTTTTTCATAACCTATAACCTGTCCTGTAAAAACTTTAACAACCTATAACCTGTCCTGTAAAAACTTTAACAACCTATAACCTTGTATAACTTTATATCTCGTAATCTGTAACCTGTCCTAATCCGCAACATTTTTTGCGTAACCTGTGCAGTCCTGTCCTGCGAAAAAATTTATACAAAAAATAAGTACTCAAATTCGAAAAATTTTTCTTAATAAAATGCAGCTTAGTATCAGAATTCACCTTTAACCACAAGGATGTGGAACGCAAATATCAACCTAACAAATGGTTATGTGTTTGCTTCTTAATTGTAGACACCCAAGTTCGAAAACTTTTCCTAATAAAGTAAATTCTTTTCCGATACTTTCTGTATGCAGCAAAAAAACAACAGCAAAAGATCACATTTCTGAAATTTCTGATCAATAATATATCGTCAACAACATCTGGATTCAACGCCTGTCTTCGTGTTTCCAATACTCTTCCTGATGCACTAAATATTTTTTTGACTAATAAAAGCTATTTTTCGAGCTCTTATTTCTTCCTCTTTACAGATGGTGCTTAATATTTTTTTACAGGTTGAAAACAGGGTAGGGATAGCGTAATCTGTCCCGTAAAAATTTTCCTAACCTTTAACCTACCCTGAACTGCGAAGTCGTAACCTGAACCTGTCCTAACCTGCCAGGACAGGATAGGTTAGGACAGGTTATGCGTTACCTGCAGGGCTCTACTATCAGACGATTTTTCCCAACGTTTCTATTTTAGTATAGAGAAAAGATAAGTATGTTTTTTCGATTTTTTCGATCTTTAATCTCATAATCACGTTTAGCAGACAACATTAATCATATCCTGAGGTTTTAAGCTTATTCTGATATTTTTTGAGTGAATAGTGAAATTAGGTAAAATAGCGTGGAAACCCTACTTTTCGTAAAACTGGCTTTTCGGTAGATTTTTAAAAGTTTTTTCTAAAAATAAATATTACCACGAGACTCAGCATGATCGATTACTCATAGTCCATCCGTCTTTAAGGCTACCAATAGTCACCGGATGCCGGGGACTCATAGGAAATCCGATACAACGCCCGAACCGCGGCGTTCATATGTTATCAGAATGAACAGACAGAACGAAAAAGCGAATTCGTGTACAATTTGTATTGAACATTGATTTGTACATAGAGTTACACTTTAGTATGAATGTTCATTCACTCTTCAACTCACAAAATCTCTCACTGTGAATTGAATGGATTATCCATCAACTTAATTGCTTTTCTCAAACGCTACCGCATAATATACGCCTAATTAAAAGTAATCCTTTTCCGATTTATAGCAAAATACAGAATATTCGCATTGAACTTTAAGTAGACAGACTGCTTTTTCAAAAAGGGCAGAGTCTAACTATTAAGTTATTTGTTCCACAATATGAGTGTTTGACTGAACAAGACACAACATCCTTCTCTATATGTCAAAAATGTTGATGATCAATTCTGAAAAACCATTGTTTCGCTACTATAACTTTCGGCTTCCTCTTCCGGTCACAGTAGTCAAATCTTTCATTCAGAGTCAAGTAGATCTATTGTTAACCAAATTTATATATATAGTTTGGAAGTTTACAACAGACTGTCTCTCACACCTAGTATTCCTATTCCAGAGGTCACTGTGGCGGAGATCGTTAAACAGTGGTGGAGGTTTCGTCCAAAGAAATCTTCCGACTCTACTTTTCAGTCTGGTAAAGCATGATCTCGCGAGTAGAGATTTTTGTTGGAGATCCACAAAGCTGGATTTCAATGCCAATGCTATTCCGATTACACGTGCACTTTCCCGAATATTTTTTTCGATTTATATCTCATTTGTTTCCCGATGATCCTAATATTTTTCTGCGAGGGTTTTTGAATAAACGTTTCACCTAAAATCTTTATGATTTAGAAATTCAAGCAAAAGGGGCGCTGGAACTTCTTTCGAAATTTGCTCGCGATCATATGCAATCAGTGAAAATCGAAAAAACTCAAGCGCTGCTCGTACATAACGTTGTAAATGTTACATATCATCCGATTTTAACCTATGAACAAAACACCATTGGATATGTCAAATATTTTAGGTACCAAGGTGATGAACTTACCACCAAACTAGGTTGGGGTAAGCTCATAGACGAGCGACATTTATTCGAAGCAGCTATCGAACATTAAAAATTCAATTCCATGTCCGATGATCTCTGTACGGAAGCGTTTATTTTTCGCATTTTCATTTCCACATTTTGTATGGCTCTTTCATGTTTGGTTTTATTTTGCATAAAATCAACGCAATAAAACAGCACATCTTTTTTACATCGATAAGCGCTTGGCGTTTTTCCTCCAGGGCTGGGATGACTTATCCGCAATGATCTTAGCCTGTAGCTATACATTTAGAGACTATCTGTATAGATATTGGGTGAGATTCTCCGATCATGTTGAAGATAGGATTGAGAAAGACAAATTTTTTTCCGAAAGGTTTGCACAAACCACCAGCCATGTACGACTCTAATATACAAATTTTTTGGAAAATCATAAAATTCAGTACGACTTTTACAGGAACTTTCCGACTCCGATAATGGCATTCTTCATCAGACATTTTGCATGGCGCCCGTCATAAAGATAAAATGAAAAAAGCTGAAAAATAATGATAAATTAAACCTAAAAAATGCTAAAAGGATCAAATAGAAATCATAAAAGAGATATAAGATAAAAGAGACTGTCGAATTTTTCTTGTCATTTTTGTTACGTCTAATAATTGTTAAGAAACAATAAGCTGAAGATCAAAAAAAAGATTGTTTCTCCCCCTTAGAATGATAGTTTTAAAAGAATAATTTTTATGCTATCAATAGATAACATTTCTTTACTTAAATAGATAAAATTTTATTTTACTAAATAGCAGGATATCACAAAAAAGAACAAAAGTCTTGTGGCATCCGTGGATACCCTAAAACTAAAAATTAAAAAATATAATAAGTAAAATAGCATTATTAAAAATCTGTGTAACCTCTTAGCATATTTTTAAATGTGGCTAAAGAAGTTTGACAGGCTAAAACAGAAGGTAGTTCATTCCAATCTTTTGATGTTCGCGGAAGAAAAGAGCTAGATGCAGATTTTGACATTAAACGAGGGATAAACACGCGACTATCATGGCCTAATCGAGAACTTTGACGCGTTGTTAACTGTGAAATCAGATCAAAAGAGGAGAGGACTTTTATGATAGAAAATTTTATAGAAGTAGAGAAGGCAATAATATAGACGTCTGTTTGAAAGTGGTTGAATTTTAAATTGTTTGAGTAGAGAAGAGGAACTACTAAAATCTCGTGAAATGATCCTACTAGCAAGCCGCTAAATTTTATCCAAAATTTCAAGATGAGAAGTAACATATTATGTATAAGAATAAAGAAAATATTCGTCAATGGCTACAAAAAGGAGATATACTCGTTGTAGACCGTGGTTTCCGAGATTCTTTGGAACATTTGAAATTATTAGGTTATCAAACTTATATGCGTGCGTTTCTTTCAAAAGGTTTGAAGCAATTTGACACTCAAACTGCTAATGAGACAAGGTTCGTAACCAAAATTCGCTGGGTGATCGAAAGTGATAACGGCAGAATTAAACAGTGGCGTTTTGTTCGACAAGGTTCTTCCAAATTCTTTATTAAAACTGTCGGTGATTTAGTTGCAATTGTTTGTGCTCTTTTAAATTGTTATGGTGCCCCATTTATCCAAGATTTTTCAAAAGACAAACTCCTAGGAAAGAAAATGAGACAGCTACGTGATCAAACAAATGAATTAGGTGAATATGTTGCTAAGTTGAAAAGTAAAACCGAAAAACCGATTCAATACAAAGAACTGAATGCAGTTGATACCGTTCCGGACTTTCCACGTTTAACACTGGAGCAGTTAAACGATATTAATCTTGGTGAGTTTTAGAAATACTCATATTTTTCTTAGTTGGCACTCAGGAAAATTTTTCTTTATAGGCACCTATCAATTGAAACAGGCCAAATCTTATACGGTTGAACACCTATCAACAGAAGGAAAATACATAGTCAAAGTAGGGAAACAAATGTTAGATCTTATCCGAGCTAAAATGCAGTCTAGACATAAAAATAACACTTCTTATGATGTTTGGATTAAATATTCGAAACAAGATATTTTGGGATGGTATTGCAGCTGTGCCGCGGGTGCAAGAGTAGTGGGCTGTTGTGCTCATATTGCTTCTACTATCTGGTATTTGGCTTTTGCACGATATCATCCTACACATCTTATACAGGAATCATCAACTTTTCTAGAATCTATGGAGGATGCAGCCGAGTATTCAGACATTTCTGATGACTCTGATCAAGATACTGATTCTGGTGATGAGAATATGTTGTACTCTTTAGCTTAATACAATCGAAGCTAAAAATTGTGATTGTTACACTAGCCACAATTGTAACAGTCCTTTTGCACTTACATAACTGTCTTTTTTATGTGAAAAAAAAGAAAAGAAAGAATGTATCAAATATTTTTTAACTGAACACGTACACTTGTATTCGATTGTGTTGAAAAATAACAGCTTTTGTAAGAAGAATAAAGTATGGAATAATTTTTATCGAAAAACTTGTTAAAAAGAGCATTCCAAAGTATTTGCTTTGGCTGGTAGACCTAGACATTGAATTTCGACCTAAATGACATACCATTCGAAAGAGCAAGCCTAGGGCTATCACCACCCAAAATGGCTTATTGGTACCTCATTTCCTTATATACTATTCGTGACCCATAACATGCTAGGTGGAAAATCGGCTAGGTCATGTAACACTAGAAAATCTAGTTTGCATCGGATGAAACTAGTTCCTTCAAATTCGGATAGAGCACATTAAATTACATAAAAATAGGTCATTTTAGAGCATCTCAGACTCAACTCCACCGATTTAGGAGACAAAAATTCAAAAGAACCGTGTTTTGGACCAAAAATTAAAATGGATGCCATTCCTTAGGAAACCATTTGTTGGAGCTGCGGTTGCGATATTCGTAGTCAGCACACTCGAATCTGTAAGAGAAAACTTTTCTTTGTCAAAAAATCGGAAAAAAATTTTTCGACTGACCAGGGGTTTGCCCTAAAATTTTTCGAAAAAATTTCTTTGTCGCATTTAAAAAATCTGAAGCGACAGTTTTGTTCAGAATTCAATGCTGATTCCGAAAAACTATAACTCATGCCTATTCGTTGTGGCCCGCGAACCTAAGCTAATGCCACTCGCCCTTTTATCCAAAATTTCAAGATGAGAAGTAAAAGTGGAATCGTAGATAACACAACCGTATTCAAGCACGGTTCTTACACAAGTTTTACACAGATGACAACGAAGAAATGCGGGCGAGTCACGAAAGACTCTTGAGATAGAGCCTAACATTTGACGAGATTTCATTGACACATATTCAATGTGAGCCTTCCACGTTAAATTATATGAAATAATCATGCCAAGAAGCTTAAGAGACGAACTTCCTCTTGTTTGCTCTCTTTTTTCTCTTCCACTAAATAAACCTATTCTTATGACAATAGTATATGCATTTTTTCCAAGTAGAAGAATTATATTTAATAGAATACATAAAGATTTTTTGCATAAACATAAATGTAACGTTTTTTCTTGTTTAATATTGACCTAGTGATATTGTTCTTGATAGTGATAAGTGAATAAAGAATCCTTTCTTTTTGAATTTTCTCACTTATTCGAGATGTTAAGCAACATATCTTTTTTAAGAAGAAAAAACATAAGAAAAATAGAAATCTGGAAGAAAGAAGTAGAGAAATTTCCAAGTCGTGACACTCTTCAAATTCCAACATAATTCCTTGGAAAAACCCAAAAAGAATAAGAAATGGAAATGATATTCTTACTATATATATATGTCCGAGCCGGGTACGTCTGATTAAATATATCTGTCGTTTTCAGATCTATGTAAAGCCTTTGGAAGCTGGAAGTAAGTTGTACTAAAAGTATATTTTGATCAAAAAGTCTCTGTGAAGTTTGGCCAAACTCTTACTAGTGTAGTTCATTTATAGTGAACTTATTCCCTTGTTTCATCAGTATGTTGACAAATGCTTTTGTTATTTCACGCAATAATTGTAGATTTACTCATTTTATTTACAAAAGCATGTCAAAACTAAATATAAATTTTTCAACATTAGCAGCAAAAAAGTTTAATGGTGTATTTAATAATGATTTTAAATATGAAGATTTGATTTCATTCATTGAAAAACAACTTGAAAGTGCCAATTTTACATTAATATTTTTAGGTTCAACAATAACAGATCAAACTTTTTCAACAGTCAAAGAAAAAATTGTTAATAATTCGTTGATTTATGTTGTTCAACGTTTGGACGGCGGTTGTTCTAATTTAATTGATATTGATACACACATAAAAACAATTTCTTCTGATTTAGATAATGAACTAAAAAAACTGGAATCAAAAGCCAAACTCGATATTTGTATGATATGTACAGATAATATATTATGTTATAATTACTGTTGTGGTACTAAATTATGCAAAAATTGTTTTAAACAAACATTTTTTAATTATAATCAAACATTAAAATGTTTAATTTGTTCAAAACAATATCCAAATGCTAAATTTTTTGTATCACCAGAAATTTTACAATCATTACTACAATTGGATGATGCAATGCAATTAACAAATAATATGGATTTTCAATTATGTAAATGTGGTGCTTTATCACATAATACAACAATGTATTCGAAACAACAATGCAAACAATGTCAACGCTGGTTTTGTTTTTTTTGTAATCAAGACTGGGATGTACAAGTTAAAAAAATGCAAAATCACAAATTTACATGTAAAATTAATTGTACTTGGGAAACAAAAATTACATATGAATTAACTAAATGTCTATATGGTACGACGGATTTATTTTTACCAAATCGTCGATGTTGTCCAAAATGTTGTCAAACAGGCGCATATGGCAAACAGTGTAAGTATCACAATTGTAAATATGGGAACGTATTTTGTTTTGTATGCCTAGAAACAAAAACTGAATGTCAAAGAAAATATAAATCATCATGTAATACAAAATGTACTAATTATAAACAACAAGATTATTCAATGTTTCCTAGAATTACACGTTAATATGTACTATTAATCCAAATACAGAAATCTGACTGCCACCGTTTTGTCCCATTTCTGATGTTTCAATTCATTTCATTTTTAAGCAATCAAGAACTCACTATTTTTTAACTTTGTCTGTATCGATGGATGGGTAGATCGTGTATTCTACTTTCGAGACAAAAAAATGCATAAAAAATATGTTTCGTGTTTTATTTATCGCTTTTTAATAATGGAGGACAAGTGCGAAAAGTACAAAATTAGGTTAACAGAGTATTTAAGCCGACATCCTATGTAGGTATGCACCAGTTCCAGTTTTTAACTGTCAGAACTGGAACTGTTGCAAAAAAAGTTCGAGATGAATTCAAAAGAAATTTTAAATTCTATTGCAGAAAATGCAGGTAAGAGATCAAAAGTCTTTTAATACGAACGCTTTTTGAAGCTGGAATTTATGGACTCTAAGTAATCGATTATGGAACTCATAAAGGGACTTGCTCCTGTGATTTATATAACGTACTAACAATATCTATGAAAGTGTGGCTCCACTTAGAGATGCGTAAAAAGCTCAAAAACCAGTGAAAATTCATAAGGCTTCATAGAGATCGTCAGTGCGTTATATGAATCACATAATCGATTACTTATAGTCCATAAATTCCAGCTTCAAAAAGTGTTCCTATTAAAAGACTTTTGATCTCTTATCTGCATTTTCTGCAATAGAATTTAAAATTTCTTTTGAATTCATCTCGAACTTTTTTTGCAACAGTTTCTGACAGTTCCAGTTAACTGGTACATACCTAATCCCATGAAAAACAACAGACGATTATAATGCCATCATTTTTCTTAAAACACCAAATTAATTAAGAGAAAACGAAGCACAAATCTATTAGCTACTTGGTTTCTTACTCAAAACAAAGATAGGATCCATAAGCATTTTCTTAGAGAAAGTATTTTTTAACTTCAATAACAAGTGTCTAACGATTAATCACTTGACGGAATCAGCTTCTATGCGTTTCTTTAGCAACCTCGTATTCGACAGTCATAGCTAGCTTAGTAGAGGAATAATTTCCATCTTGAAAATTGAACTATTTATAACATGATAATAGAAAAGAGTTCAATTAACAGATGAAAGCGTTCACTTTAACTATTTCAAAAGAAGGAAAATTCAATACCAACAGTCTTTTGCAAATGTTGTTCCTTCTATATCCTTAAGAAAATAGTCTATCCCGTTAAAATTTATAAGAATTTCAAATTCATCCTCCTCGATCGGAGTATATCTCATGATCGAGAAATAGCGTGAAGTACATATTTATTGTTCATGAAGCAATAGAAGATATTTTAGATTATTAACTTTCATGTATAAAAAAACCGAATACGGGATGTGAATTTTAGATCAAAGAATATATTTCAGCGTGCTTTTCCCTGCGTAATGAGCGGATGTGTATCATCACGAAATCAAAATTCTTCCAGAGAAAGGTCCAGTTCTACTATTCCAACTAGACGGCTGAAAACAATTAAAATCGAAGATAAAGCAGTAATTGACGAAAAACGAAACGAAAACAGTGAAACTCAAAAAATTAAACCATTACCAAGTTAGTATTTAATAAAGTAGAAGTAGTTCATAAAACTCTGTTTTTCGTTTCGATTGTTTAGGTTACTCAGCCTTAAGAAGAAGGGAAAAAATGATCCCAAGACGTAAAAGACCATTGGCAGTCGATGGATCTGATCCACTTAACCAAGATGCAGCTAAACACCGATCGGGAGACGATCGAACAAACTATTCGAAAATGCAAAATACAAACAAAAACACTCAATTAACGTCCTTTCGTACATCTCTTGATACAAAGAGCAACAAAAATTCAAATCAACAAGAATCTCATCAAAGTCAAAAAAATATATCTGTATGGAATGTGACGAAAAGAGCATCAGTAACAAGTTCGGTGAAGGCAGAAAAAACGTGTGTACCAACTCAAAAGATTGAAACATTACCAAGTTAGTATTTAATAAAGTAGAAGTAGTTCATAAAACTCTGTTTTTCGTTTTGATTATTTTGCATAGGTTACTCAGCCTTAACAAGAAGGGAAAAAATGAGTGACAATAAAAACATTCTATCCAAGAAAAAATCAGATGAGGTGGATATCCAATCGATTACACCTATTAACAAGAATATCAACGATTTACGTCAATCAAATTCGAAAGGATTCAGAGGTATATATATAACGACTAATCAAAGTCGAGAAAAAATACTCATTCATTTCTTTCCAGCGATGCCAGTAGCAGCTCACGATCCTATCCTAAGACGTAAAAGACCATTGGCAGTCGATGGATCTGATCCACTTAACCAAGATGCAGCTAAATACCGATCAGGAGACGATCGAACGAACTATTCGAAAATGCAAAATACAAACAAAAACACTGAATTAACATCCTTTCGTACATCTCTTGATACAAAGAGCAACAAAAATTCAAATCAACAAGAATCTCATAAAAGTCAAAAAGATTCTGTAACTACAATGTGCAAACGATATGTTCCGGGTTTATGTGGCTTAACCAATATTGGTAATACTTGCTTTATGAACAGTGCATTACAATGTTTGAGTAATATTCCAGATTTAACAAATTATTTTAAGAACTTTAACGAGACCAACAGCATAACTCCCGTCACTCAAGCTTATAAAGATCTAATACGATCAATTTGGTCTGGTAAATATTCAAGTGTTACACCGAAAGAAATAAAGTATCGTGTAA